CCCTCAAGCCAAGAAGATAATCAGATAATGTTTGCATACCACACCTGAAGCCCGCTGGGAGGCTGCAGAACCAGAGCAGGGTAAGGGTAAAATGAGGTTCAAGCTCCATCTCAGGAGCACCAGATCAGACGGCAGCTTACCAAGCTTTACCTTCAGACCTTGCTGCCTACTTTGTTCTCACCCTCTTACCCTTCCAGGTGGCCTTGACTAAGCTTCTTGACATTCTGTGCCTCAGTTTCCTTATCTGCAAAATGTTATAACAAGAGATTCTACCTTGGAAGGCTGCTGTGGGGATTATATGAAGTAATGTGTATGAAGCACTCAGCCCACCAATCAGATTTGTCACAAGTGCTTGACAAGCCTGAACTGCCTCTGAGGTGCTGGCTTATTTAGTTCCCCAAGGGGATGATAAGCAAGAGCCAGGTTGTACATTTGGGGTTCCTTGTGTTTTTAACCTGGAATAGTCAAGTAAGATAGGGCATCCTGGATGGGGAAACCTTTAACCCAATATGTACAACATCTTTATGAGAGCTGAGATGCAGACAAGTTGACCTAGAGCACCATGTGAAGACACACACTTTGAGGACACACAGACCATGTCACAACACAGACAGAGATTGGAGCTGTTTTTCTCAATAATTTAATCTTAGTCTTTTTTTTTTCTTCTTCTTTGAGACAGGGTCACGCTTTGTGACAGGCTGTCACAGTCTCCGTCCTCCTCCTGCCTAGAGATAGAGGTGTGCCCCTTTACATTTATCAAGATTGGGGCTTTGTAACTACAAGCAAGGGACAGCAAAGATTGCTAACAACCTAAGGCACACAGCATGGCCTTGAAACCCAGAGCCTTACCACTGAGCTACAGTAGCCCCAGCCTGAGAATATGAATTTCTGACATTGTTAGTCCTGCATTATGTGATGCTTTGTTACAGCAACCCTTGGAAACAAACTGTCATAGTTAACTTCAGCTGTCAACTTGACATAGCCTATCATTACCTGGGAAGAGGGAACCTCAGCTGAGGAATTTCCTCCATCAGACTGGTCTGTGGCCACATCTGTAAGGCATTTTCTTAGTTGATAATTGATGTAGGAAACACGTGGGCTTGGACTGTATAAGAAAGGTAGCTGAGCAAGCCAGGGGAAGCAAGCCAGTAAGCAGTGTTCTCCCTGGTCTCTGCTTCAGTTCCTGGCTGGAGTTTCTCCCTTGGCTTCCCTCAATGGTGAGCTGTAACCTGTATGGTGAAATAAGCCCTTCCTCCCCAGGTTGCTTTTGGTCATGGTGTTTACTGCAACTGCAGCAGCAGCAGCAGCAAAGAAAACTAAAACACTAATACAACGTGCTGTTTCCATGTGTTTTAAAAATAAACCCTCAAACCCAGCTTCAGGAGGACTGGATACTTCTGGTTTCCAAGGGCACCCGTACTCACACGTACATCTACACATATAATTTAAAATAGTAAAAATTTGGGGGGTGGGGTTTTTGAAGACAGGATCTCCCTATAGCCCCAGCTGGCCTGGAACTCACAGAGATTTGCCTGCCTCTGCCTCCTGAGTGCTGGGACTAAAGGTGTGAGCCACTATGCCCAACATATAAAAAAATCTTTTTTAACATCCCCCAAAGTTGAGCATGGTGGCACATGCCTTTAATCCCAGCACTCAGGCAGCAAAGGCAGATGGATCTTTGTGAGATTGAGGCAACTGGTCTATATGGCGAGTTACAGGCCAGCTGGAGCTACATGAGCACATGCCTCATCCACGAAAGATCACAAATAAGCACCTCAAGGTCATGCTGAATCTCTAACAAACAGGTGTGATCAGCATAAGCCAGTCCCACCCTTCACAGCTGGACCCAGGGACTGCTTCTGCAACACACTGGGGTGCAGATGTTCCTCTTTATTTGTTTTTTTTTGCACAATGACTGCCCAAGATACCAACAAAGGAAGTTTCTGAGGATCAAAAGTAACCCCTGGCTTTAACGCAGAGTGCAGTCTTGGGGTCCACAGAACCTACAACTCCTAGGAAGCTGCCAGAAACCTAAATTCTCAGTCCCCCCATGAAAAAGACCTTCTGCAAGGCCTAACCATTTTTACATTTTTAAAAATATTATTTTTATTTTATGTGTATGAGTGTATTGCTTGCATGTATGTAAGTGCGCCCATGTCATGCAATGTCCACAGAGGTCAGAACAGGGCATTGGATCCCCTAGAACTGGAGTTACAGACGTTTGTTAGCCATCATGTAGGTGCTGGGATTTGAATCTTTTTTTTTTTTTTTTTCGGTCTTTTTGAGACAGGGTCTCCCTGTAGTCCCAGCTATCCTGGAACTCCCTATATTGACCAGGCTGGCCCTGAACTCACAGAGATCCACCTGCCTCTGCCTCCCAACTGCTGGGATTAAAGGCGTGCACCAAGTCAGTGCTCTTAACTGCTGATCCATCTCTCTAGCCCTAGCCCCAGTTTTTAAATTTTTAACTGCATTTATTTACTTATTTATTTGTGTGTGTGTGTGTGTGTGTGTGTGTGTGTGTAAGCACATGCATGCCACAATGTGCATGAGAAGGTCAGAAGACAACTTGCAGAATTCGGTTCTCTTCTTTAAACATGTGGGTACCAGGAACTGAACTGAGATCAGGTTTGGCAGCAAGTGCTCTTACCCATTGAACCATCTTGACAGACCCTAACCTGTGTTTTAATAAGCTTCTGCCCCTGAGAAAGCAGGCCCCACATAAGTAAGCAGGAGAGCCTTTAAGACATAGATGCAGGGACTGGAGAGATGGCTCAGCAGTTAAGAACACTGGCTGCTCTTGCAGAGGACCTGGGTTCAACTCCCAGCATTCATGTAGCAGCTAACAGCCTGTAACTCCAGTTTCAGGGGATCCAAGGCCCTTTTTTTTACCTCCGCAGCATTACACGACATGGGTGCAATACACACAGGCAATACACTCACGCACAAAAAATAAAAAATAACATAAGAAATAGATGCAGCTGGGTAAGGTGGCACATGTCTTTAATCCCAGCACTTTGAAGGCAGAGGCAGGCTCCCTGTGAGATTTAAGCCAGCGGGGGTATGGGGGTGGGGGGTGCTATAGGGAGACTCTGTCTCAAAAATCAAAACAACAACAACAAAAAACATGGATACTGGGGGCTAGAGAGAGGGCTCAGTAGAAAAGGATGCTTCAGGTGCAAGCATGAGGACCTGAGTTCTAACTCCAAGCAGTCACACAAAAAGCTAGGCATGGCTACATGTGTCTGTAACCCCAGGACTGGGGGCGGACACAAATAGATCCTGGGAGCACAGTGGAAACAGGTGACATTCCTGTTCAGTCAGAGACTCTTATCTCAAGGCAACAGAGTCGAAAGACACCCAACTTCCACTTCTGCCTCTACATGTACTCACATGCACGAGAGAGAGAGAGAGAGAGAGAGAGAGAGAGAGAGAGAGAGAGAGAGAGAGAGAGAGAAACCAAAAAAAAGATCCCAGAACACAGCTACACATATTGGTACTCAGCATCTAACAGAGATGACACCTAGACCAGGTGGCAGGTGACTCAGAGCACCAAGAGGCTAGCCAGACACAGAGAGGTGTGACTTGGCACTCTGATGACGGGTCCCACTTCCCAAAGATCATCAGGATCAGAGCTCACACACTTGCCAGTGTAGCCTTCACCTGGGTGGGCCAATCACCACATTTACAACCAATGAGAAGCGAGAAGAGGGCGAACAGGTGGCTTGTTCCCTCACAGAGATTTGTAGCCAGCTGCCAGGAACCAGAGAAGGGTAGGGATTCTAGGGTCTCAGACAGGAGAGCAGCTTGTGTTGTACCTCTGCCCTTGGCAAGCACTTGCAGGATTCAAGCCAAGCATTCCCTGTGTGGGTGCAATGTGTGGTGGGGATTCAGTTTAGTGGGCATGTGCCTGAGGACAGCAGCAGACCCCAGAGTGGGGTGGCTATCATGCCAGGAACCTTCCAAGTTCCTGAGATAAGCAAACCAAGAGCAGACAGAGCCAGCACTCCCCTCCAGCAGGCGCCGTCACCTACTGTGGGGACAGCGTGCAGGCTGACTCACAGCGTTCCGAACTTCTCTTTCCAGGAATGGCAAACAAGGCTCTGCTACAGTCATAGCGCTGTCCCTGAGAAGATACAGTACCCCACCTGGATACTAACCTTTTCCACAGACTCTTCTGCTTCTTGCCTGTGCCCTCAAGACTGAAGGCCCTATTTCTCCACCAAACTTCAGGTGTCCTTGTTCTCCTGGAGGACAGAGCCTCTGCCCACAAACTGCTGGACTAATAAGCAGCAAGGACATGTGAACAGGAAATCTTAATAAAGTGCTGTGAATGCCAGCAAGTATGGAATGGGGGTACAGAGTAGAGTGGACAGGTCACAAAGGCAGGGAGGCATCCTGTTAGAGGATATATAGATATATAAAACAGGCATACAGATCTATGCTTTTACTGATAATAAATCATAAATTTAAAACAATTCTTTGGGATACTTTATACAATTCAACTTTTACCATCTACTAAAGATAAAAGCAGGGGCTGGTGCTGGCCGTGGTGCTGCACTCCTTTAATCCCAGCACTTGGGAGGCAGAGACAGGTGGCTCTCTGTGAGTTTGAGGCCAGCCTGGTCTATATACTGGTCTGGTCTACACAGCAGGTTCCACACCAGCCAGGGCTACATAGTGAGATCCTATCTCAAAAGAATCAAATGTTGGGGCTGGAGAGATGGCTCAGCGGTTAGAACACTGTTTGTTCTTGCAGAAGACCCGGGTTCAAATCCCAGCACCCACATGGCAGCTAACAACTGTCGGTAACTCCAGTCCCAGGGGATCTGACAGCCTCTTCTGTCCTCTGTGGGAGTTGCACGACACGGGTGCACTTACATACATGCAGGCAATACATGCATACACATAAAATAAAAATAATAAATTTTTTAAAAAATTAAAAATAAATCAAATGTTCTAACAACATAATCCCAAATATATTCTAATTTGATACTTACATGATGAGGGACGACAGTAGGAAAAGTCTTTGCCACAATTAAACCAGTTTCGGTAAGAGCAGAAAACTTTGTAAGTACAGTAAAAACACTGCAATTCATAACACAAATGATCTCCAATCTGAGCCAACATGCCTCGGGCAGTTTTTGTTGGCGATGCATGGAGTGACAGCTGTGTGGTACAATGCAAGCACGTTGTGTGTTTAGAGCCCAGAGAAGCAGCACATAGCAACAAGGGGAGGGGCTCCTAGAAGCACTCAGATTCATTACCTTTGGTTTTTAAATTGTTTTTGGTTACTTAGTGATCAGAAATTGCTTACTGTTGCCAAACTTTTGATCCCCACACTCTTATGCAATCTCATATGGGTTTGCAGCCCAGTTTAAAAAGCTGTGATTTGAGGCTGGAAATCACAGCTCAAGATGGCTCAGTAGTTAGGAACACTGGTTGCTCTTGCAGAGGACCCTGGTTTGGTTCCCAGCACCTACATGGCAGCTAAATGGCCATAAGCATTGTACACGCATGGTACACTTACATACAAACAGGCAGAACACTCATATACATAAAATAAAAATAAAATCGAGAAAAAGAAGCTGTGATGTAGAATATTAATCCTTAAGGCAGCCAAAGTTTTCCGTACTCACCAGATAACCTTCACCCCCTTCTGGCATCTGTGAATGTCTTCTCCATGCACACTGAGGAAACAGGCTAGTGCTAGAAAGAAAATGATGCTCAGGTCCTCCAGCTCCTCAAGCAGGAGAGCGAGCAATTTACTGTGCAACTTTAAAAGGTAACAGAGGGATGTGACAAAGAGGGGCAGGGCAGCTGACCAACCAGAAGGCCCCTCACCGTGGGCTCTACCTTAGTCCCCTCAATGGCCTACTACTCAGAAACACAAAGTTCTAGTCTACGAATAGTTAACTTTGCCTAGGGGACTAATGGACTAATTCACACTGAAAAGATTTGCAGTCACCAACGTCTGAACCACCCACCAGCCAGTTCACTCATTTACTTCTCAGCAGTTATTTATGTCAGCCATCAGGCACGGAAATGCACAACCCTTGGACAAAGATTTCATAAGCATCAGGTGTCCATTATCTAACAACCTGTGTGTACCTGAGGAGAGGAAACAGCACCGCCAAATGAGGTGGGGACAGAAATGGCAGGTGGAATTGTGCAATAAGTTTGGCGTCAGGCAAACTAGAGTTCAAACGCAGTCCACCATTTATTAAACAGGTGACTGGGGGGAAATTGCTTAACCTTCCTGAGTCTCTTTCCTCACCTCTAAAATATAGGTGTATCAATACCCCCGCCAGATTATTAATGCATTAAATGAGATTACATATAGAAACTGCCTAGTTAAAATTGTTTATATTTATTTGGAAAGGCCACGCCACATACTGGTTAAGGGAACAGTCTTTGAGATCAGAGAAAACTGGGTATAAATCCTAGCCCTGCCACTTATTAGAAATAGGATTCGTGCAAGCAGCTTAATGTTTTCCCCCTAAGCTTCAATTTTCTCACTTGTAAAATGGGAATAAAGATTCCTCAAAGTCCAAGATATAAGACAATGTATTCAAAGGACTTAGCAAATGTCTAGGATATGCTAAACATTTGATAAATGATATGATGAAGAGTAATTTTTAGCCAAGTGTGGTGGGCATACACCTATAATTCCTTTACTAGGGAAGTTGAGGCCAACTTGGACTACACAGTGAGGCCCTATCTCAAAAAAAAAAGTTCTAGAAATTGTGTATGAAAGAACAGTGACATGTACACTAAAATTTTAAATTAGTACAAGCTTTTTTGTTGTTTTTGCTCTTTTTGAGACAGGGTCTCCTGTAGCCCCAGCTGTCCTTGAACTCACAGAGATCCGCCTGCCTCTGCCTCTGGAGTGCTGGGATTAAAGGCGCGTGCCACCACACCCAGCCTAGTACAAGCTTTTTAAATTTTTAAATGAAATTAAAAACTGGGCCATTAAACATACAAAAAAAGATCTCTCTGTATTGCTACCAAAATTACTTTTGAGACAAGCCTCTTACCTCAGACTAGTTTCACACACTTAATTTTCCAAGAGTTTCTAAAATAATGTCATTTCTGTGCAGCCAAGCGAAAACCTCAGTGTTTCAATACTGCTAAGTCATGCTTCAGAGAAACGAAAGCAGTGTGCCTGGGATCTACACTTCCACTTTAAAGAGGGGAACCCCGGTAGGCACAAAACAGCAAGCATTGTTTAAAAATCATACCCCATGTAAGAAAGCTCCTGCAGAAAATGACACCTGTCGATTCTGCATCATGCCTTTATTCTCCCTACTGACACTGTCAGTTTGCAAATGGTTTATAAAATTTGCAGGTCATCGAAAACTAATCATGGATTTTGATAAAACATCTTTCTATTCTAACCTTGCAAATACAATTCCCTTAGAACAAAGGGCAGCCCCTCTTCCACAACACTGCTGCTTCAACCCGTCCAGGAAACCACCCAGCTGCTAACTTAGCCAGGCTGCTCCTGCCAAGCCACAAGAAATTGGAACCCAGGGCTGAGTCCCTCACAGGTATTGCTACAAGATTGGGGGGGGGGGCGCTCTCTGGTGCTACAGAAAGAAGTCTCAATGGAAAATCTGTAAGGATCTAAGTTTTTGAAACAATGGGAGCGTCTCTACGGAACAGATGAGGCGCTTTCTTACTGGAAATTGTACTAAATACAGCTGTGGCCTCAGCAGGAACACCTGCCCGAAAGCCAGCAATCCGGTTTACAAACTCGCCGGGGCTGGACACGGGGTGGCCCGATGTGGCACTGCGGAGCACGGAGGGGGGACCAGGCTGGAGGACCACACCAGGGTTCACGGTAGGCGAGGCCACAGCACCACACACTGCCGGGGCCCCGAGTCACACACAAAGGTGGTGGTCCCACCGTGGGAAACCCCAGAGCCACAATGGTGGTCGCTGCCCAGGATGACAGGGCCCAGGCAGCCCGACAGGGGAGCAGGGTAGCCGCACGTTGGGGAGGGGCGACTGCCAGCGCTCGGGTCCAGTGCGGCTCGAAGTCACCGCGACGCCGCCCCGCCCCGCCCGGCCCCGCGAGGGAGACGGCAACCGCCATCTTCCCCCGGCGCTACAACCTACAGAGCAACCAGGCTGTCGCGAGACCGGGAGGGCTCCTGGGAAGGGGAGGGGGAGGGGAGGGGAAGGAAGCAGAGCCGGGAGGAAGGCGGTCCGCGACCGCAAGTGGAGCTCCAGGAAGCGGAGGGCGGGGAAAGCTACGATTGACGCGCCATGCTGGCCAATGGCGAGCGAGCTCCGGCGGGCCTGCGGACCAATGGGCAGCGCGGCCCTCCGCAAGGGGCGGGCTCCGGGGCCGAGGGTAGCTTGAGCGCGGCGGCGGCGTTGTTCAGTCAGAGCGAGAACATTCCAGAGGTGAGTCTGCGGGGGGCGGCGGCCCGTGCCCCTGCCCAGCTCCCGCCCCTCCACTCCGCGGATCGCCGGTGGGAGCAGGGGCCGCCCGCCGCTCACGGCCGTGTCCCCGACAGGTCGCCAGGCTCGGCGCTGCCGGTGTGGACGCGGACGTCGCTGGGACAGCCCCTCCCGCTGCTCGGCGGCGGCACCTGCCCGGCCGCTCCTCCGCTCGCCAGCCGCCCCGCTGCTCCGGACCCGGTTTCCAGCGCCTCTTCCTCCCAGTCCCGGGCGAGCCGCGTTGGGTTTATGTCTTTATTTGACGAAAACGGTGAGCCGCGGCCGGCGGGCCATGGCGGCGGCAAGATGGCGGCGCGGCCGCGTGACCTGCCGCGCGTGTGGCGCAGTTTGGGGGGGAGGCGGTCTCGGCGGGAGCGCGCGCGCGTGGCCGGCGCGGGGCTGAGTCAGGCTCGGGGCGCGTTTGTGAGTCACGGTGGCCGCGCCTCCTCCGCGCTCTGCCGGCCTGCGGAGCAGGGAGGGAGAGCGGCCGAGCCATCGATGGGCGCCGCGGCCGTGTAGCCATGGGGACGGGGGCGAAGGTCGGCCGCGCGCCGGGGAAGCGTGGAGAGGAGCCCGGGCACGGCGGGAGGCGGCGGTGCTCGGGCCGGGCCGATGACTCCAAGCGCGGACGTGCTGTGGTGAAGTGAGCCCGGGATCGCGGGCCCATTTCGCTACGGTGGCCGACGGAGGGGGCGCGGTTTGGGAAGTTGGCTGGTCCAGTTATGAGTTGGGGGAGGACGGCGCCCGGATCCCTCCTTGGCGGTTACGGCCCGCCGCGCCCAGGGCAGCGGAGTGTGTGCGGGTTGGCTTGCCAGTCGCAGCTGGGTCAAAATGGAGGCATTTTAGGCACCCGAGCGGTGCCCTGTTAGATGAGAATGTCAACGTGCCGGCTCTGGCTTTGCCAGTTCGGCACGGGGTTGGGCCAGGAGTGATGGGGACCCTGTGGGGATGTGTGTGTGTTCTCTTCTCTCTTTCAGAGCTGTTGCGCAGCCATTGGTACCTGTATTGGGGAAACATAGCGTACAAGCAAGAAGCTTACAGCCTCAGTGGCGAAAATTTTTTCATGTCAGAGACCGAGAACTCTTGCAGTCGTTTATGTCATCCCTTCTTCTCCAGACAGAAGATACCAAAAAGTTGCAATCAAAGATCTCTTCATCTTATTGATAAAGCCACTAATAAGCCAAAATGTCTGTCAACGTCAACCGCAGCGTGTCAGACCAGTTCTATCGCTACAAGATGCCCCGTTTGATTGCCAAGGTAATACAGTCAATCTTCTGTGTAGAAGGAAGTCAGTTCGTAACACTGTAGGTTTTGAAACATTACATTTCACAGGAAAGACCATGCAAACTTGAAATTCTTGTTTCTTCAGGTTGAGGGCAAAGGAAATGGAATCAAGACAGTTATAGTCAACATGGTTGACGTTGCAAAGGCGCTTAATCGGCCTCCAACGTGTAAGTAAAACTTGGAGAAGCCTGAAAAAGGTGTATTATGGATATAGTCTTGACAGTCCTTGACAGCAGAACTTTCCTGGATTGTTTGTTAATTAGCAAGTGTGAAACATTGGACTTTAACTGTTTTGGTGTCAGAAGTTCAAACCACCCTGGCTATGTCCCTTAACCCTGTAATTTTAAAAGACACATCCAGAAATTTAGTGAATTATAATGAGACATTTTTTTCAAATAGATCCCACCAAATATTTTGGTTGTGAGCTGGGAGCACAGACCCAGTTTGATGTTAAGAATGACCGTTACATTGTCAATGGATCTCATGAGGCGAATAAGCTGCAAGACATGTTGGATGGATTCATTAAAAAATTTGTTCTCTGTCCCGAGTGTGAGAATCCTGAAACAGATCTGGTGCGTAACCTTGATATTTTTGTCATTAAAATCTTGTGCTTTTTGTGATCAGTTACAATAAAATCATCTTTCTAAGAAGGCACAGCACTTGTTAAAAAGTACAAATGCTATTTTCCCATACCTTTTGTTAAAATTAGGCTGTGTGGAAAATTTGTTATGTTAAGCTAGTGTTTCAGATGTCTTACATTTTCATGTTACACATTCATATAAAATTTTCATCTTTCATTATAGATGACAGACGTATTCTTGTTTTTACTTTTTATTGGCAGCATGTCAATCCAAAGAAGCAAACAATAGGTAATTCTTGTAAAGCCTGTGGCTATCGAGGCATGCTTGACACCCATCATAAACTCTGTACATTCATTCTCAAAAACCCACCTGGTAAGTCATTTCAGTGAACTTTTAAAAGTCTTAAAGCAATACTTGTTGGGAGCAGAAGTGGAAAAGTCTTTTGTTACTGTGATTAAACCACAGTGTGAGAAGTTTTTATCCTGGGTAAAGTCACTTTGTAACTAACTGTACCCCCCTCCCCCCATCAGTTTGTAAAACCAGTCATTTTGAGGTGGAAGAAATAGTTACTACCAGATTGTGTGAGACTCCAGTAAAGAAGGTGTGTCTGGTCCCACACTTGCCTCTTAACTGCAGTGACCTTAAAACATTGCAAGCAACACTCTGTGGCAGATGAACAAAACTATCTGACACAATTTGAGCTTGCTATAGCAAGAAAGTCTAACCTATTCCGGTATTCTCTTCTCCATGAGACAACCCGTTATATAGGCTCAAACAACGTTCTAATTGTGTCTTTATCAGATTCATCAGGGCAAACTACCATAAAGATCAGGCATCATTATGTTAACAACCAGTTCAGTATCCCTAATACTGTGTCTTTGGGTTGCCTTACCATGTTTTATAACTTCTGAGATACAATTAGATTTATCCTTGGAATCTCTTCACAATTCTAAGAAGCATATCTGTCCTTGTGTTGATTTTTCTGTGATTTAAGGTAGCAGGTAAATAATTCTGATAGACAGTGAAACATAAACCATAGGACTAAATTTTCTTTCCTTTCCCTGTAGAGAATAGTGACAGTGGTACAGGAAAGAAAGAAAAAGAGAAGAAAAATAGAAAGGGCAAAGACAAGGAAAATGGCTCTGTATCCAGCAGTGAGACACCACCACCTCCACCACCAAATGAAATTAGTCCTCCTGCACATGCTGTGGTGAGTGTAAGGTTGACAGCCAGGTAGACATTTAAATTGGTCTGAAAAGCCTGGCCTGGCATTTGAGATTGGCAGAGAAATAGAGAACTGGCAGGGAGATATCATAGCAGTATTTGTGCTATTGGTTGCTTGAGTTGAGGTAAATGATTATATTTTTGAGGAATGAGCTTTGATCTTGGCAGTGTGACAGACATTTAACATAGTGTGTTGTGTTTAAGACCTTTGACCGAAGGATCTTTGTTTATAAATAGGAAGAAGAGGAGGATGATGATTGGGGCGAGGATACAACTGAGGAAGCTCAGAGGCGCAGAATGGATGAAATCAGTGACCATGCGAAAGTTCTGACACTCAGTGATGATTTGGAAAGAACTGTAGAAGAGCGTGTCAATATCCTGTTTGATTTTGTTAAGGTAAAACATTGACTTCATTACAGCTGCTGGCTTTTCAGGTACTTATCTTTGCTTGATTGTAATTGAAAAGTAGAGAACAAGTAGGGCTCTCTCAAGCCTAGTGAAATATGACTGCACTTCACTGAAGAATTCTCATTTTATTTGCAGAAAAAGAAAGAAGAGGGCATTATTGACTCATCTGACAAGGAAATTGTTGCTGAAGCAGAAAGGCTGGATGTAAAAGCCATGGGCCCTCTTGTTCTGACAGAAGTTCTCTTTAATGAGAAGATAAGAGAACAAATTAAGAAATACAGGCGCCATTTCCTAAGAGTAAGAAAGTTGTAGTGCAACTGTACTAGGCAAGGTGGGGCATGCCTTTAATCCCAACACTGATGCAGAGTCAGGCCCTTCACTGTTCAAGACCAATGGGACTACATAGCAAAACCCTGTCTAAAAAAAATTATGGACCTGTGGCCTGAAACAGCTTTTGCCCATTCTTTGTCATCCTGAAAATAGAGATCATTGGCCTACTTGATCAAACCTGTGAGCGTCTGCAGGAGATGCACTAGCCCCTGTGAATAAAGTAGACTAATATCTGTGCATAGACTTTTGGAACCATTGTTCTGTGAGCTGTATCTTAAGAAAATGAATATGCTGGGCGTGGTGGCGCATCCCTTTAATCCTAGAGCTTGGGAGGCAGAGGCAGGCGGATCTCTGTGAGTTCAAGGCCAGCTGGGCCTGCGTAGTGAGTTCCAGGACAGCTGGGGCTACAGGGAGACCCTGTCTCAAAAAGACAAAAAAAAAAAAAGACCAAAAGAAAGAAAGAAAATGAATATGCACAGGTGTTGGGATTATCCTAGAATGGTTAAAAAGCTTAATGCCAAATGTTTATTTGCAGTTTTGTCACAACAACAAAAAAGCTCAGCGGTACCTTCTTCATGGTTTGGAATGTGTGGTGGCAATGCATCAAGCTCAGCTTATCTCCAAGATTCCACATATCCTGAAGGAGATGTATGATGCAGACCTTTTAGAAGAAGAGGTCATCATCAGCTGGTCAGAAAAGGTGGGCAGCAAAGAAATTGGCTCTTGAAGTTTTGGTCCTATAGAAACAGCCCGGGAGAGTGAAAGTCAGAGAATGCCTTGTATCTTATCTACATTGGGTTGCAGTACCTATGCCTATCTGATGTGATTCCCTGGCAGTAGTAGCTCTTGAGATGAGAGTGTGACCTAGGTCCTTCAAAAAGTTAATGAGACAAGTAATTCAGTTTTATTTTTATATGTCTTCACTGAGAAAATTCTGAACTGTTTGTAGGCCTCTAAGAAATATGTCTCAAAAGAACTTGCCAAAGAGATTCGTGTCAGAGCAGAACCATTTATAAAATGGTTGAAGGAAGCAGAGGAAGAATCTTCTGGTGGTGAGGAAGAAGATGAAGATGAAAATATTGAGGTATGTGCTTAGGAAAGGGTTGTTTTGGTTGTCTTTGGTTTGGTTTGGGTTTTCTTTTTTGTTTGTTTGTTTTTATTGAGACAGGGTCTCCCTGTAGCCCCAGCTGTCCTGGAACTCACTATGTAGACCAGGCTGGCCTTGAACTCATAGAGATCCACCTGCCTCTGCCTCCCAATTGCTGGGACTACAGGTGTCTGCCACCATGCCCAGCTATATACTTTTTAAATATGCGTATGAGTGTATTGCCTGCATATGTGTAAGTACACCTGTGTTGTGCAATGCTCCCAGAGGTTAGAAGATGTCGGACCCCCTGGAACTAGAGTTACAGATGGTTGCCATGTGGGTGCTGGGAATCAAACCCCGTCCTCTGCAAGAGTAGTCAGTGCTCTTAACTGCTGAGTCATCTCTCCAGCATCTTGGGAAAGTTAATTATTAAGTACTGTGTTAGAAATGAATATTTGCAGTTCAAGGGTTTGTGTAGTAGTATAAAGTAGCAGTTTGGCATAATTCTAAGTTGTTTCTATGTGATGCTGAGAGTGAGCTCAGGGTCTTGTGCGTGTTAGGCAAGCAGTCTGCCACTGAGCTATCTCCCTCAGCCTTGGGAAAGAACTAAGTTAATAGAGTGATAGAAATTTATGACCATAATCTACAAGAAAAATACAAGGAGGTATAATTGCTCACATCAGTCAATGAAATTATCTTTATCAGGTGGTTTATTCGAAGACTGCCAGTGTACCAAAAGTTGAAACTGTGAAATCTGACAACAAGGATGATGACATTGATATTGATGCCATTTAAAAGGATGGATGCAACCCAGCTTCACAGTGTAATGCTGCAAATTTTTCTCCATTATCAGCCAGAAGTGCGACATGTATGTGCAAGAGCTAGTATGGCTTAACATCATGCTACACTTGATACTAAAGCTATTACTGTGAGTGGTCTATAATTAAGCCCAATGAGACATCTAGGGAGTCCATACCTGTCAGTGAGCAGTTGTAGTTTGCTTTATTCATAGCATGTTTCTTTTGGAAAAACTAGTGGTGGACACATTTGGATCACATTTATACAGTTATAAAAATAAAGATTTTATTTTGGTCATTCTTCAGGTTTTGGGCTCTGACGGCTTATGCTGAAGTAATTGGCTGCTTTTTAGGGTGTTGCACCATTAACTAGATAAAGTCTTTGGAACCTGATAGATCGTTAGGTGCTGAAACTGTCCAGGGCTTCTCAGCAGAATGTAAACAGTTCCTTCAAAATGGCAACTGGTAATTGTGCTAAGGTAGACTGATGAAATGACAGTGTGACATCCTCTTGAAGTAAGAATGACCCGAGTGTCCTATAATTCTAAGAACAAGTTCTGAAGCTTGGGTTGTGGTTTTCTGTTCGTGTACCCCTGCCCTAATTGTAGTCTGTGGAGTCATGTGCATTGCACGTTGGATGAGCCAGGGAAATTACTACATTAGCAAATAAGTATTTTATGTGTATGTAGTGGTTGCTTTGTACTGAGAGAAAAGCTTTGAGGTGTAATTTAAATAGTAAACTATGATTTTATTTGGGAGAAAACAGGAAAAGGTGCACTTAATCCCTAGCTAATACTGAACATAGTTTTTCAGCTTTTATCCTTAAATTATCATTTGAAGATGTTTAGACATACTGTATCTTGTGTTTGGTGTTCCCTCATTATGGTTTATTCTTTAATGCCTTTACATTTGGACATATGCTTGTGCTTTAGATTTTGGTTGCTATCTTGCCAAAATAAGTGTTACTATGTTTAAAGCTTGGTTGTTGTTTTTGGTTTTTTTTTTCCCCTCTCCCAACTATTTAAAGAAAAAGTGAAAATCATACTTCTGAGTCAGAGCCTGTATTTTGGTGTAAGACTTGGGATATTTTTTACTTCACATTGAATATAGCTGGGCACCTGAGAAATCTGGACAGCCACTGGTGCAGTTAACTGGGGCCTGATCAGCCCATTCAAGGGCGTTGGATTTCAGACATGTACATGTGAATTCCTTACCCGCTATCTGATGTAACTCAGTCTGGGTTCTTGACTATATTTGAAAACTGGTCTTCTACATAAAACCTAGGCATGTATTTTCCACAAAAGTACATTCTGAGTACATTCTGTGTGGCACAGTAGCTCAAAACCAGTATCATTTGCATCTTCTATGTATCATCCATCTCATAGATAAGACTTTAATAATAAATGTAAGTAAATTTTTTTCACATTAAAATTATCTGAACATTTGATAAGAGCTTGGTGAGTGTGGAGCAGGAGCCGTATACCTGGACAGAACATGTTATGTTAAGATACTCATACGCAAACTCACATGTCACCTAGGTTTAAAATCTTTGTTGCATGGCCCATTTGTCATTTTCTGAGTATCTAGTAGGTCTGCACATTCATTGTCAAGCTGGTAAGAGTTTGCTGCATTGCTTTTGTTCTGAAGGGAAACAACAGTCGGCTTCTCTATGTTAAAGAGAGGGCTTGGGCTTCAGCCACTGTTCAATCTGGTACCAAACCAGCAGAATTTCAAAATCACACAATCTGGGTTTTATTGATGGAGGTTAACCTAATAGAGTACTCCTTCACTGCTCTATTGAATTGTCTTAAAATTTCCTGTTTCAAACAGCTACATTACTTGATTAAAACAATGTTAAAATTATATTTTGTCTCTGCTTTAATACTAAAGGTAAGCCAAGTTTGCATTTTATAGTGTATTATTGTAGCCAATACTTTGGATTCCTTTTTTGGGTGGGGGGGGTCATTTTTGAAACAAGGGTCTTCTTCTAGCCTAGCAGGCCTGGAACAAAACAAGGATCTTCCTCTAGCCTAGCAGGCCTGGAACTCACAGAGGGAGTTTGCCTGCCTCTGCCTCCCAGGTGCTGGGACTACAGGCATGCACCACCATGCCCAGCTTACTTTGGATTTCTTTGTTGAGTATTTGGGGGAACATGTCAGCCCTGTATGATGTGTAAGTGCACCTGTGTCGTGCAGTGCCCGCAAAGGTCAGAAGGCAGCATTGTATCCCCTGAAACTGGAGTTCCAGACAGTTGTTAGCTGGCATGTGGGTGCTGGGAACTGAACCTGGGTCCTCTACAAGAGCAGTCAGTACTCTTAACCACTGAGCCATATCTCCAGGTCACTGGCTTTCTTTAGATTGGGTTTTACAGTCTATAAACTGAAAAATCTGCCTGTTAAGTCTTTGGTGTATGAGTAGTTTGCATGGTAAGTGCATGCAATGCTTGCAAAGGCCGGAAGATGCTGTACGATTCCCTAGAACTGTAGTCACAGGTGGTTAGGCCATGTGGGTTCTGGGACCTGAACCTGGGTCCCCTGCAAAAAATAGCAAGTGTTCATAAACCTGAGCCATCTTTCCAGCCCCAATTTTTTAACATCTTCAACAGGAAAGATGTTAATTAGGGAATTCAGACTTGAGTTATTGTAACTCTGAGATACAGCCTAGATCTTGAAGGAAAAAATAGGACTGGTTTCATATGAAATTGATGGGCTTTAGGAGGGTGGTAGTTTGGGCCCTCAAGAAAAGACACCAAAGGCCTTGAACCTGGAAAGTTGGTCTTGCCCAAAGAGCATACTACTGAGGTCCTCACACCTCAGGTACTCTTACTTTTTTTTAAAATCTTGAGACAGGGTCTTTCTATAGCCCCAGGTGGCCTGGAACTCACAGAACTCTGCCTCCCAAGTGTTGGAATTAAAGACGTGCACCACCATGCCCAGCCTCTTTCTTTTGCGGGGTCTCTTTGTATTTCCAAGCTGACCTCAAACTCTTGCTCCCCTGCCTCAGCCTTCTAAGCACACATCACCACCTTTGGCTCCCCTGTGCATTTTGTTTATTTGGTCCAGGATGTGGGGCCCAAAGTTGTCATCTCATCTGGCTCTGATCACTTTTCTCCTACGGTATGCTAAGGTGTATTCAAAACCAGTTAATAGGATTTGAAGTTCCCCCAATGATAATACAAACAACCCACCTGGTTAGGTGTTGCTTTGTAGTTGCTATCATTCTATTTTCAAGTACCATGTAGCACCTCAAAATGGAAAGTTAGCTTGTGATGAGGATTTGGGCTTTCGTTGGGTACGGAGTGAGACAGGGTTTCCCTATAGTCCTAGCTGACTGGAATTTGTGGAGCTGGCTTCAGTCTCACAGAGATTCTCCGTGCACCTGCTTGTACACTAGACTCTAATGACCTTCCATAAAGTGGAATGATGGGTAAATGACTAGACCAAGACCTCATTGCCAGCTTGTGCATCAGAATCTGACCCTGTGAATGTCAGTATTGTAGAAGGGATTTATATCATGGTCTTGTTCCTGGGGTGTTGGTTGGTTTTTGAGATGTTCTCACTCTAGGCCCTGGTTGGCCTGGGACTTGACAGCCGCTGCCTCTACCTCCTTAGTGCTGGGGTTAAGGTACGCTCTATCACCATTCCTGGCCTACTGGAGTCATTCTAGGAGTCAGTTTCAACTTATTTTCTAAATGGAATATGAGTCTTTTGCCTGCATTGTGTTTAAGTATACCTGTGCATGCAGTTCCTGCAGAGGACAGAAGAGGACATCAGATCTGGAATTGGAGTTACTGACAGTTGTCTTAACTACCGTGTGTCTGCTGGGAACTGAACCCAAGTTCTCTGCAAGAGCAACCAGTTTTGTTTGGTCTTTGGGGACAGGGTCTCCCTGTAGCCCCAGCTGTCCTGAAACTTACTATGTAGACCAGGCTGGCCTTGAACTCACAGAGATCTCTCTGCCTCTGCTTCCCAAGTGCTGGGATTAAAGGTGTTCACCACTGTGCCCAGCTAGAGCAGCCAGTCCTGTAAGCTGCTGAGCCCTCTGGCCCCAGCCTGTTCCTTGTTTATAGAGTGGAGGTTTTTGCCATAAGTCTGCTGGATAGGTGGAAATAGTACCATGTGCAGCCATTGAAGTTCAGAGGCTTTCCAAGGAAGCTATCCTGAAATAATGGCTAGGTAAAAGATGAGGACAGCTGTGAAGTAACTTGTGGTTGTAATGTATGGCTTTCGTTCCCCACTGTGATCTAGAGGGTAGTGGTGAATGAAAACCATCATCCAACTTAGGGGTTAGAGTGGGAAAAAAACGGTATAACACTGTAGGGGTCTTGGAGGAAGCTGGAACTGGTTGAGGCCTGAAGCCATCTGAAGGGACCCCTAAGACAGAAATAGCCCCAGATGGTTGTGGTGCCACCCACTCAAGCTTCCCCATGGGTACTTAGCCTTGAACCTTTATAGCAAAGGAGCTCCCAGACTAAGGCAGATAAGGCCAGTTGGGGGGACCTTGGAGAGACAGCTGGGAGCTTTGGGGATGGTGTCTGTTAAGAGCATAGAAGCCAGTTACCTAAAGATGTGTAGGAGTTTATTGGTGTTCCCGTCTTTTTCTTGCCCCTCCCCCAAGCCTACATGGTCTCCATTACAGCCCCAGCTACTGAAAAGTGGGACCTTCAGGAGATGGAAATAGTGGGGCTGTGGCTCAGGGATATGGGGGATCCTGCCTGAGGTGAGCAGACAGGCGGTGCTGCCGTGGTGTTCTGCGTCACCGGAGGCTCCAAAGCAATGGGCCAGTTGGCCACTGACTGAAATGGTTAGCCAAAATGTTTCCTCCATTAAGGTGAACTAACAGAAAAGCTAACAGAAAAGGAAGTGTGGAAGATGTAGTGAAAAGTAGGTGTAGATTGTATCTCCCTGCTGCTGTGAACAAGAAGGGGCTCTGTGTGGCTGGCATTCAGGAGCAACTGTGGAGGGAAGCTTGCACTCGAACCTGGGGCAAGTTGGGATCCAGGCATCCATAACCATCTTGAGGTCACAGTATCCAGGTTGGGAATGTGAAGTCCAGCCCCTCCCTCCACAGAATTTCAGAGCACATAGGAGCAGTGGTACCTCTCTTGAAGGCCAGTGCCCAGAAGTGAGTCCCTAGAGGCCACAGGATTTTCTGATGTGCCTTTAGATCACAACAAAATAGTTGCAGGTTTAGGAACTGGGCTAAGTGATAGGTAAAAAGTTGGCAGAGTGAATGGAGGAGGAGGCACCAGGACACAGATAAAACTCCATCAAAATAGGGTTTATTAGCAAAGGGGCACATGGGACAGATTCCCTTCCGGGGAGGGAAAATGTCTGCCCTGATCTTGAGCTGGGGTCTTTTTAAAAAGGGAGGCTTCTGCTTCCTGCAGAAGGTGGGAAGATGTTTTTTTTTTTTTTTTAATTTGGGTGGGGGGAAGTGGGAGAGCAGGACTCTTAAAACCTGTTCTCTTTAGAGATCAAAGGGGAAGCCTGCTGTGTTGGCCAAACAGTGGAGAAAAGTCTGCTTCTCTTGACTTCAAAGACCAAGGTGCTTATCAGCTAGGGTCCCTTTTCTCAGGAGCTTGAAAAGCCCTTGGGATCCGTTGGTGAGGGGGCAGGGCTATCTGAAACTGAACACTAAGGAGGCAGGGGGCTTCTCCTGTCCCGGCTGCACTTGTTGGTTCTGTGAGTCAGGCAGGCTCTGGGTCTGCCTCCTGACTGTAGCCATATCTGTCATCTCCCCATTGACCACACCAGGTTGCTGGGGAAGAACTTGGTGGGAAAACCTGCTTCCACCCCTAGTATAGCCTCTATCAGAAGAGAAATGCATCTTTCTTAATCCTTGAGGATTCTTAACCACCCCTGGGACAGTTTTTATCCTTTGACTGTCTTTTGTAAACTGTTTTAAAGCCTTCCAGAAACACTTCAGTACTGAATTTGGTTTTCTATCAATTTTTCCTCTGGGAATTTGGGCTCAACATAAATCTTGCTACATTTATCTTCAAGTAACCCAAGTAGACCATTTCTTCTGTCTGGTCTTTTTTATATTTCTTATAGGGTGTTCTGTTATTTTATAGACATGTTTTACATGCTGGTCAGAATCATTTATATTTGCCAAAGCTGCCTCACTTTACAAAGTTCCTGTCCCATTAAAGAGCTTAGTTAAAACCATTAAAACCCCATACCATTCTCGAGGTCCCAGTTGAATTAAGCTTTCTTCATATCGCTGGTGAACACAGTCTTATCTGGCCCAGTGAACTGGACATCATATATTGCTTTTCTCATACCGAGGGATCAACATTCAGGTCCACAGACACAGATCTCAGCTGAAATAATTTGCGTATTAGTCTCAAATTCATTCAAGAAGTACTATTCCTTTTTTTTTTTTTGGATTTTTTTGAGACAGGGTCTCCCTGTAGCCCCAGCTGTCCTGGAACTCAGAGAGATCCGCCTGACTCTGCCTCCCAAGTGCTGGGATTACAGGCGTGTGCCACCATGCCTGGCCACGACCATGTATCTTTAATGCCTTCAACCAGCCATCCCATTAAGGACCGCTCCCCCTGCATTGGCCTAGGTTGAACAGCCTATCCCAAGGATGGATGGGTGGTTATATAACTCAGCTGTGAAGCTTCTGAAGGACTTAGACTGACATCATTTGCTCTCATGTTCCGCACACTCACAAGCCACGTGGCTAGGGGCTCTCTGCTTGCTTGCTTGTAAGTTTTTCTTAGTTTTAACAGTTTTAGTATGGAGTATTTCCTAGCTACAGCACTGTGCGCTTTTTTTCCTTTTGTATCTGGTTGAATCTGAGGGGCAGCTTTAGCTACTTTTATTTTTAGGTCATTTTCTTTTTTACTATTATCT